TCATTCTGTCCATTTCTGCACATTCGTAGATCTTTTTAATTAATGCATCTTCCGGCGGTATAGTGGTGGATATTCATTCTGAATTCATGAAATTAATGTTATGGGCTTACTAATCATGTGCATTCAGAAATATATCCTTTTATTTACTTTATTTTTTACTACAAAGAATGCAAGAAGATATTTTAATGTTGAACTACAATTAAGAAAAGATTAAATCAGTTGGCTCATTCCACCCACACCTTAAGCATTCAGGAAAATGCATGGTTCTAATTAGTTTGTCCTTAGTGAAATAATGGAAATTAGTAAACCATTTAAATAAGATCAATTCTTCCTCACAAACCACTGGATGAAAGAGATAAACATATATTTTAAAGCCTTTAGATGTTTCAGCTAGAAAAACTATTAGGTGACCCAACATCCTTTCAAAATTGATTCCAATAATATACCAAATACATTTTTCAAAACATTTTTCCTTGTATTCCATATCCTGGGTCTACGTAGACTAAGGAGAACATGCAGATAAAAAGTGCACATATTCTTTCTTTTCTATGTCTTTAATGATCAGTAAAAAGGTAAGAAATATTTTTGGCCATTGTTCCTATTAAGTAATACTGGCAGGAATCTTACCAAATTGAGGAAGAGCCACAGAAGATAGATGTAGATTCATTGATAAAGATACCTTATACTACAAATCTTTCCATTCACAATAACCCTTTGATTTATGAGTATTGAGTAGGAGGTGTGGGGAGAGAGATTGTGAGGGAATGTACAATTTTGGGAAGTCAGCTTCTTAAAATTTCCTTCTATCAGTGCAGTGCTTGATGTCATACCAAGAACTCTGGGATAATATCTGCATCTGTGTTGTATAATAATTTTTCAGTGAATACTGAAATATTAATTTCTAGTGAAAATCTATATTGAGATAAAGGTATAACATGTCTTCATTGCAGAAACACTAGCGGTTTCTTAAAGGTATTTGCAGGAGCTTCAGTCAAGTAAAATATTTCTTTATTTTGAACCTTTTTCAAAACCAAAGTACAATATGACAGGTTGAATTAATGATGTCTATAATGAAGGCATAAAAATGCAGAGATGGCAAAGAAGCATTTTTAGATTCATGTTTCAGGTTTACCAAGAAGGTTCATTTAAACTGACACAGCATTGCATGCATTAGAAAGATATGTATGAGTGCATTAGTAATTCTTGTACCTTTGTTCAAAGAGAATTAATTATTCTTCCTATCAGCTAATAGAATAATACTATTGTTTATATCATCTATTCTCTCTAGCTGAAGATCAGTTACGTGCAAAGGGTTATGACAAAACACCAGACTTCATATTAGAAGTGCCAATTGGTAAGTCCATAATGCTTTTTGTTTTTCTAATTGAGTTGTTTATATTAAATGCTAGCAATCTTAGTTGAATTATTCCAGATATGTTTTAATCATAACGTTGAAGATATGCACAATAGTGAACCAATTCCATTAAGAATTTATTATGGGAAGTGATCTGTTTGAATGCAATCATTTGTACATAATAAATTAGACCCTTATTCATGAACAGACTGATTACATATTTTGTCGCTAAAATATCTAAATTTCTTGGTTGGATAAGACAAATATTTTAAGATTTCACTGTCAAGAGAGTTTTTAGCCAAATTGTTGGATTCCTGCAGTAACAATGTCAAAATATACAATATATTCATTATTTTTATTTATTAATAAAATTTATATAGCTGCTCATCTAATAGAAGGCTGTTCTGAGTGGTATAGAACAATCGAGAATAACAGTAAAATTATAAAGCAGTTATTATCCAAATCATTATATAATACTCATTTTAAAAATTACATTTATCACCATGTTGCTAATGACAGACTGCATAACAGAAGCCAAAAAAGCTCCCTTAACAAGTAGTTACATCAAAGACATCTAGCTGTATTCCACTTTTTCCACCAAAAATCCCCATATTTCTCCATGGTGATTTATTGGACTAGTCTCTTACATACAGAAGAGAATTCCAAAGCTAATAGACATGTATGTAGGAACTGACAATCTATAGGGTTATTGCAAGCGTAATCCTAGGCAGTGTGCAGATGGTAAGAAAACAGAAAAATAATAAAACAATTTCTGATTCTGAGTCCCCAGAAACAATAATATAACACAAGCTTGAGGTGGAAAAATTATTCCTCCTCTAGTCAAAAAGACTACCTTATAACTAAGCACAGGGCTCTTTTAAGCTAGCCCAAATTCCTGCAGAAACATCCAAGTCCAATAGTGTCAAAACTGTTTAAACCTCTGAAGGGATGTTGTTCCACAGGGCAGAAGCTGTAGACCAAGAAGGAATGACTGACTCCTAGATCCCATAAGATGGATGCTGGAGCATGCCAACCCAACTGATTTTGATCAGAAACAACAGAAGACAAGTGATCTTAAGATAATCTGGCCTTGTGCCACATAGACCTTTACAGATGTCTCTTTTAAGGGTATTACACCAAATTAATCCAACTCAGCTATCTTGCAGGATCTTATTTTCTTCTTGCTTATTTATTACACACACACACACACACACACACACACACACACACACACCCTTTAAGAATCTGAGGGCAATATTTATAGTTTTCCCACACCCTTTTTTTGTGAAAAAAATACCTTGTAAGTGATAGTTTAAATCTAGGATTCCCTGGACATATATTAACACAGTGAACACTACATTATTGTTCCAATATGATTTGCCAGAAAATGTGTATCATCTTCTAGAATCATATCTGCAATTTCTAGATTGTTATTTGAGATTTGAAATACAGTTTCTAACATCACAATAATCTTGCAATGAGGAAAACAGTTGCAGAATAAATAAATGCTTAGCTATAAATTAATCAGTGTGATGAAGCAATCAACATTTCATAAAAACAAGTAATAAATGATGTAGTTGTTCTCTGTAGAAAAGGAGCAGTTATAGAGTACAGCTTCATTACCTATACTCTAATCATCTTGGCTTTCCACCAAAACAGTGTACATTTTTTCCTAGTAGAAAAAGCAATTCTATGCAACTGCAACAGAAAACAACTGCAAAAAAGAAAGAGGGAGGGAGGGAGGGAGGAAGGAATGGAAAACTGTTTGATAAGTGCTTATTTCAGTATACCTTACTACTTATTTTCTGCCGTTCCTATTCCTTTTTTGTTAGCTATGATGCCAAGCACCTTTACAGAAATCATTATATCCTATCCCTTGGTTTTTGTTCTGAATAGCTTTTATGCCTATTTCTAAAGATCCTGTGATTCTTGAGCTTCAAACTTATTTTTCATAGTTCCGAGTCTCATTTCATATCAGTGGAAGACTTTTTCAGACTTCATTACTATAAGAAAAGAAATTTGCATAAGAGTTGAGGAAAGAAGATGTAACTTTCCAGACCATGACTCTCTTAACTGGAGCAGGAAAAAGAACCATTCTCTCCTCCCATCTGCTTCACCTGTGTCCCCACTTTTTTTTTTTTGTCTCCTGCATGCAACCCAATTTCTGTACCACCTATCTTCTCCTATTCATTTCTGTCTTTAAATCTACCTGTTTCTCTTTTCCGCTCCTCCAGCCCCTTAGTTCTATAGCAATAGCACTTAGATTTAAATACTGCTTCATAGTGCTTTACAGCCCTCTCTAAGAGATTTACAGCATATTGCTCCCAACAATATGGGTCTTCATTTTACCGACATTGGAAGGATGGAAGGCTGAGTCAACCTTGAGCTGGTAAGGATCGAACTCCTGGAGTGAGCAGTGGGTTACCCTGCAGTACTGCATTCTAACCACTGCACCACCACGGCTGTATGTTCTTCCTTGAGCTTAATCGCTGCAGATTCCATCTCTCTAGAAATCTCTCTCTCCAGATTTCCAGTCATGATGTATTTCAAACCCCTTCCTTGGTAAAATGTTTCACCATTAAGTGAGCTTAATTCATGACATCAGGATTAATTGAATAGAAAAAGAATTACTTAAAAATCTGAAATTATCATGAATATTTTTTTTTCTTTTTAGCTGTAGAAGGTCACATCATTCATTGGATTGAAAGCAAAGCCTCTTTTGGTGATGAATGCAGCCATCAAGCATACTTAAATGACCAATTTTGGAGCTACTGGAACAGGTATATCTTCATTTTTATGAGCTATAGACAATATAACTTTGGTATTATTGTCAATATTAGTATATTATGCTTATTTCTTTCATCTTTCCAGACAAATGACAAGTAGGATAGGGGTGGGTTCCGGGTTCCGCTATTGCCGGTTTGCTCATGGACAGGCTTTGCACACATGTGCTTTGCGAGCGCATATGCACAGTAGTAAAAAATACTTCTGCGCATGCATGGAAACAAAAAACAAGATGGCGGCACCTATGCTGTTGCCAATAGAACTTGTTTGAAGGTGTGGCAGGCCAAGTTACTGCCTACTCAGCCAAACCTGTCCAAACCAGTAGGAACCCACCTCTGAAACAGGATATACATTTTGAAAAGGATTTAAATTATTGCATTTGCTATAATTACTGCACCCTGGTTAGGACTAGATTGTAGAGCCAGTATATGGTACAATGTAACCCATGTTTGAAAACATAAGAATTAGAAAATTTCTATATGTAATTTTACAGTTGTACCATGAGGGGTTCTTGGGTTTTTTGCATAATGTTGAGTAAGGCTATTGGACCTTGTGATATAGCACTCTCTAATGTGAATAGCAGCAGATCTTCAATTTCTCCATTACTGACTCAATCCTAGTGCTGAAATTTGAAATCCTGATAGGTTGGGAGTAGAGAAACTACAGATTGAACATGGAATATGTGCCTGGATCTACCTGGATGCTCTAAACTTTTGATATGTTATTCAGGTTTGATATCTTTACCTCTTATTTTATACACATACAGAGGAATGTGCAGCACATCAAATTTTGAAGGAGTCATGGGCATGCACATTTCATCTGCTGACTCCACCTTAAGGAGCTGTGTCTTTACTACAACTCAGGTTCTAGTACCCCAGGAACATATACATTTACACCACCTCAGGAATATATTCATTTGCAGGAAGCACCAAGACTTGCAACACAGTGTTTTGGAATGGGTGTGGGAACATTGTTGCTGTTTCTTTACCTCTGATACATAGTTTCCTGGAATTTGTACAGTTGTGTGAGGTAAAGAAAAGATTCAACTTCTTCAAAACTACACCAACAACATGCTTATCCACACTCCATCCCAAATAGCTTCTGCTACAAATCCACAGGTTACACAGCTTAATACATAGCATCTGTACATAATCATGTATTTCCCTATATTTAAATTTCCTTGCAAAGTTGCTCTTTTTGATATTCTGTATTAATAAATGAATGCATTTCTGTAATCAAACATCTTACTATGCAGCAACTACACTGTCACTAAAAGCTTACAATATATAAAGATGTATTCAGTTTGTTATATTTCCTATTTGTACTTCAATTTAGAGTGTCTTAGATTGTATATTTAGTGAAAACCTGAAGAAAGATAGTTTCCAATAGTTTAAGAATGCACTATCAAAATCACTGACACTGATATTAGATAATTCCTCATAATGAGAAGAGCACTTCTATACTCTTTGATTATAAATAACAAACCTTTCATCTACTGAAATCTATTTTAATCATAAATTAGATGTCTTTAATTCTTTTGAATGTATATTTTCAAAAGTGCAGTACTCTAGTAATCTGAATTGTCAGAATATATTCATTTTAAATCCACCCAAGTTATAAAAAGATCTTATGAGGTATGTCTCAGCGTTCTGAGTAATACATCCACCAAAAGCAGAACTCCGAGGCAGGTAGATTCCTCAAAGAACATGTTTATTGGATACATCATATCAGCACAGCCAGTGAAAACCAACTCTAAAGGGTCCCGTGGTTTTAGCCTAAATAAAAGAACAAATGTTTCTCTCCCCAATGTCACCAGTCACATTGTCCAGCAAGTTACTTCTCTCTTCCTTCAACTGCCACCTGTTGGGATAACCTTGGTTTTCACAAGTAAACTCTTTGTTTTGACTGTTAGTCACTCTATCTACTCCCCCTCCCTTCCCCTTTCAGAGTTTGTGGTAACTATGAGGCAGCAAAAGATTGTTTCAGCCAGGTTCGCTTCAGAGTTGATAGAGATATCCTAAATATGCATATTCATAAGAAAATTATTTAAAGCGTGACCCGTCAAAACCGCGGTAGACAAAACCGCGCTCGACGAAAGCGCGTACCTGACGTCATCAGTAGCGCGACGAAAAAAATTAAAAATAAATTACATTGAAATTAAAATAAAATTAAAGCAAGCCGATTCACATAAAGGTAAGGGTTAGGTTTAGGGTTAGGGTTAGGGTTAGGGTTAGGGTTAGGGTTAGGGTTAGGGTTAGGTTAAGGGTTAGGTTTAGGGCTAGGNTTAGGGTTAGGTTAAGGGTTAGGTTTAGGGCTAGGTTTAGGGCTAGGTCACGTACGCGCTTTCATCGACCGTGCTTTTGTCTACCGCGGTTTTGTGGTGGAACCATTTAAAGTGTAATTACAACATGCTAATGTTAGAATCCTTTCAATACTCTTTTGAGTAAAGATGAATTGTTATATAGTATATCTCGTTATACAATTTCAGCTTTCAGTGCTGCCTTGCAAACTACCTTCATAATATAATTTGTGTCTAGTAAGTACGATTAGGATTGGACCTGGATTGCATTTGATAAAATACTATTTTTCTGCATAAGAAAAAACATAATATCTCATCTTCAATAGTGAAGATGAAATTCCTATGCATCATTATATCAGAGACATAAGCACAAATTTATTTAAGGGACTGAGTTAACCTATAACATTATAACTTGAGTAATAATGTTATCAGTTGATTTATTAACTGAAGTTATATTGTGTTGGATATGTTAGAGAAAAAGACATCCTTTTTATCTCAGTGGCTACAACTAGCATTTTGGGATTTTAAAATATTGGCTTAATAGAAACCATGGGAGTTATATTTGTCAAGTATCTAAGAAAACTATTCATGCATACCCAGTATCCAAAAGCTTCATTGGCAGCCAAAACACAAAGATTTGAAAGGTCATTCTTCTTCCCATAGTGTGATGGTTTGTTGACATATTTTGACATGCTGGCATTGTACTAAAACATTTTGACCTTGCTCCAATACTTAGAGGTTGAGGACTGGTTAACCTATCCACTGCTTGTGGAACTTCATATATTCTTCATATTATCCTTGTAGTACACAAATGTCTGCTATAAAATTAGTAACTTTAGAAATTGGGCTGGGATGAATTTAGGATTAGTGTAGATTATTATTAAATGATTATTTCATGAAATCATCAGGGTGGAGGAAAAAAATATTGAATCTCCCGAATAGCAAGTGAATTGCAATATTCCCGAAGAAAGTTTATAATCCAAAACACTTATGTTTTGGAGAGTCTGTCTATTCTCTTTGTGAAAATACAGCTTACTCTTTGTTTAAAATTTCTGTTAGTATTATAGATTTCTTAAATATTTAATTTAATGGATAATGCATGAAATAAGTTGTACAGTTGTATGTCTGAAGTCCAGATTCTTTGGTGCGGATTGTTCTTTCGAACATGTATGCTGGGAAATTATTTCATTTTTATATTTCTAAAATAGTTTTTATCACTTCCCATAAAAATTAAATAATCTGAAATGATATTTGAGTCTTTGAAACCAAATAGCACCATTTGCTTCAGTTGTAATAATGTTACAACAAATCAACAATAATGTAATTACAATTACATTGGCCAATGAATATCATTTTCAGGGGTTTTTATTCAGATTTTTGTTACTGAGGATTTTATTTATTGGCATGCCTGATTCATGGGAATCATTTATAAGTTCTTTGATTTTCCTTTTTTTTTAAAAAATAGAATATAATTTCTTACATACAATACAATACAGTTATTTATCTTTATTTTCTGTTCCTTTAATTTTGTCATATCACTGGTGTTTATCCTATAATATTGACAGAACACTTTAAAATCCATATATATTAGTGCAAGGCATCAGTTTCAATTTCCTTGGTATATCTCATTCAGATTAGACAAGCATCTGGGCTTATGTACGATAAAAGCTGACAGCATGGATCTTACTATGCTTACCAAAGGCCTGGTCACAGACAATCCATTGTGTCAAAGAAGACCAACCTTTATAAAATTTTCACTTTCAGCATTTCTTGTAATTTTTAATTGGCCTTTATATCTGGCATTCTGGGAGTCCCTTTTTTTAACCTTACATAAACATTGTAGAAACAAATTTTATTTACTATACTGCAATATATGTATACTATAAAAAGATTGCATGGTCATTTATACATATGCATTTCAAATTATGGGAAGTAGCTCTCATAAGCATAGGTAAACTAAAGGTTCCCCTCACACATGTGTGCTAGTCATTCCTGATTCTAGGGGGCGGTGCTCATCTCTGTTTCAAAGCCGAAGAGCCAGTGCTGTCCGAAGATGTCTCCATGGTCATGTGGCCGGCATGATTAAATGCCGAAGGCGCCCGGAACACTGTTACCTTCCCACCAAAGGTGGTTTCTATTTTTCTACTTGCATTTTTACATGTTTTCGAACTGCTGGGTTGGCAGAAGCTGGGACAAGTAACAGGAACTCACTCCATTATATGGTACTAGGGATTCAAATTGACGAACTGCTGACCTTTCTTATTGACAAGTTCAGCATCTTAGCCACTGAGCCATTGTGTCCCTTCGTCATAAGCATACCCATGAGTTATCTTTTTTTTTTCCATTTAGAGAATGTGGGCTTGCCTGTCTTTCCTTTTTGGGCTTTATAAGTTTTAAATAGGCTCCTGTTGTATTGTCCACCTCAGTTTTAAATTGAGGTTTCACTGCCTTTGTTACAGTGCCCTTGTTCAGATCTGGGAATAGCAGATATAGCTGACCCCAGTTTGCTTTCAGTATGACACATTTGCTTTATTTGTAATTGTTATCCTGACATGGCACTATCTTTTCAATTAAAATAAAAAATAATAAAAATAAATAAATAAATATGGCACAATCATCTCATCATTGAGATAGCCTTTAGCAAGATGAGCAGCATACAAGTTTGTTAAAAAATAAATAAATCACCATATAAATACC